TAATTGCTACAATGTACCACTCTAGTTGTACTGTTTTGACAGGTACTCAATGTTTTTTTTTTACCGATTTGAAGAAAGACATAGATTCTTTGTTCGTCCAATCTAATCGTCAGAAAATCTGGATCTGACTAAATATATGAAAAAGAAAAAGTAACTCAAACTCACATAAAGGATGAATGTTATTGTTATGACTTCACAAAAAGGAGGAGGTCATCTGTTTTTAGGGTTATGTTTCATAAATGGAAACAGAAGCCCTTATTGTATCACTTCGTGGTCAGTCGATCTGCCTGTCTGTTGAAACCCTTTTTTTCCCAGATTCTAAAATTAAAACCATATACTTATTTCTACGGCCTCTTAAAAATGTAATAAAAAAGAGCTTCTAAGTGACAGCAATAAAAAAAATTTTTTAACAGTTTTTACACTTCGCAGGTAAATCAAAACCTACAGGGATTTAATAAATTTAATATCTTCAAAATAAGACAAGCAAGTTCAAGCACACTAACTCATTGAAGTTAATCGCTAATAAGTTTATTCAAAGTACTACAGTTGGAAAATATATTACAGATAGTAAAGGTAAAATACCATATTTACTCAACAAACGCATACCTGTTGACTAAGAACCAACGACAGACTGAAGTAAAAATCCTAAAAACAAAATTACTTGTTATTCTTTGCTTCTGCGCTTGAGAGGGTGCTGGTATTCCTATATTATAAACATATGTCAACATAATATTTTAGGGCAACTACTTTATTAGAATTAATTTATGTTACTTGGCACGTGTGAGTTAGGTTTAACGTCAGCGAACTCAGAACTCGTTAGCAAGTCTTTATCGAAAATAAAGTTTTTGGGGTGCGAACTAAGAGCAAAATGTGGGCTACCAAAACGTTGATAACGAAAAACTTAGATACGTGATCCTTTAGAGCCAAGTTTCATATTGTAGTTGCGTGAAACGTTTTCATTAATTCAGTGAACAACTAAACAAGTTGAGTAGTATGAGTATTAAGAAAAATGTATATAGTTACTATTCTAACACAATTGTCCAGTATAAACAGATTTATAAATTTAGCAGCGTTAACACTATAAATACTTAGCTTCGATTCGCTGCGATCTGCTTTAGATTAAATTATATCTAGCCAACTCCAAGCTAGCAAACTTCACCCCGAAAACCGCAAATATACCAACATGGGATTATACGATTCGATAACGTATCAAAGTGACACAATCGGAAACCCATTGGTAGACATGTTAAAGTAGTCAAAAATAATAAAATAAATGACGAAACCATAACACGAAAACGATTGCGTTTTTAAATTCTGATTATAAAATCCCTTTAAACTGTTACTTATTGTGTTTTATGTTAAAGTGAAAGTGTGTGTTAGAATCTTTTGTAACTGTTTTACTTTACTCTTTTCGCAACAAGACTCGATATGCCTATTTCCGCCGTCAATGCAATATATCGTATTATGTGTATCGTGTGTCTATTTTGTGTAAGACACTTTAAATTGCTTTTCTTTGAAATATTGTTCTGTAACTTCTAATGGTGATTTAGAGCTCTTTAAAAAGGTAAAGTGCAGTGTAGTGCAGGTTATGTCCGTATTGAGCGTTGAAGAGTGCATTGGCCTAGCCTATCGCCAAGATAAAAGGCTCAAGTTTACCTAATTACACCCGGGCCTACAGTAATTGGCACACGTCGTACCGAACAAGGTGAGCAATTGAATAGACTTCCATTAGTGAAAAAGTTTATCTGTCTATAAATTAGTATACATACCAAAAATAATAATTGTATAACTTCTGTATATTATATCTTATTACGGCATGCGTATTATAATCAAGTGATTTCATACAACTTTTACTCTGTCATCTCAACAGGTATTTAAAAAACGTTCAAATTTCACGTTCTCAAAATTGTTGTTGTAGAGTTACCCCAAAAGAGCCAATTACCTAAATAAATTTGCCAACACGTACTTACATAGTTACATCAAATCTGTGAGAATTATTCAACACGCAATGTTTCCTACTTAAATATTCAGATTTAACTCCCACTTTCACAGTGAATCTCTAAATATGCAAGCATTCCATGTCCGTAATAAAAAGCATGCACCCGTTATCTCATGACATCTAATCTACATGATGTAACCTCGTACTGCTCACGGGCATAACCCAAGAGAAATGTAAATACGGGACTCGTTATTTTTTTATGCGCATTACTTTTTTTATATGTTTGTGTTTATATTATTGACGTACCTTTAATTCTATGTAGATTTTTTATCCCATTCATAGTTCGTATAATCAATGTTCTTGTGAAATTGCGGCAGATCATGTATTTCATTTGATAATAACCATGAGCGATCATTATCAACACAACAACGGAACGGAACTTAATACCGCAATTGTGATTTTTTATTATTTCAATTGGTTAAATTTTATGTAATTATTTTAAATACCAGTGACGTTGATGATCCAACCGGTTCCAGTCATGGCGACTCCATTCCACCAAAGTATCCAAAAAACCAAACCAATAGAAGGTACCAATCTATACATATAAATAAATAAAATTGAAATGTTTGTCTCTAATATCAAAATAGCAGGTTTTTTCTGCTCACACGATTATTTGCACGATACCTATGCCTAAAAACCAGTTTAAATATTTTTTGTCTGTCTGTCTGTTTGTTACGGGTTATCTTCAAAACGGCTTCACTGATTTTGATAATATTTTACTACCAGTTAGCTGTCTATATAAGGAGTAACTTAGGCTATTTTTCCTCTCAGAAAACGGAATCGAACCCGAGGGCAGTACAGTACTAAGGCACGCTAACATTTTTAATTCAAACAAATAAACAATTCATTTTATAGGTCTTCTATTTTGCAGTACTCTTGAGTTATCGGACTTATGCAGTGTCATTGTTATTATGTAGAAGTCATTTCTAAATTAATTCACACCTACTAACAACGCACAATACTGTTAATATGAAAATGAAATATCTGTAAGTACTGATTTCAATTAGTCTAGAGAACTATACCTACCTGTGTAAATATAAATAGACCTGACAAATATACTTTACCTGTACCACCACATATCTAACTCATGCCGTCGTTAACTTATTTCCCTGCGGAGTGAGTAAAAAATATGATGTTAGGTAAACTTCCCAGGAAACAGCAAATCGTTTTCAAAACAACAGAAGCAGGATAATGTAGTTGTAAAAAATGATATGGGTTGCAAGAACACTAAGAAATGTGATTAATAATATGACTTGACTTTAAATATACATTATATTGCAATAGCATTTCTTGTCAAGGTCTAGTAATAGACAAGGAATAGATAATAAACAAGGTCTAATATGTGCATTAAAGATTTTTCTACAACGGACTGAAAAAAACTAACCGCTAAAGACTCATGATAATTAACAATATCATTAATCAAAATTAGTATTTATTAAAATTTCTTACATCAGTCAAATTACGTTCGCGTTACTAAAATGCGATCCAGTGCTCAAGCAATTAAATAAAATCTGACTTGCCAGATCCATTGCTTGATATAAAAATCATGTGAAACAAAATAAAATATGTTTCTCAAAATAAGAACGGTATTGGAATAACAGAGAAGATTATCAAGGATGGTATCTCCATTCTTTTCTTTCTTTTGGGATATCCCATGACGTTACAAGAACGCCCGACCGACCTTTTCATTATTTTAAAAATAATATGAGACAGTTAATTTGTTTGTAAAACTATTTATGTAAATGTTTGTAGTCTGAGCGGATATAGTAAGTAGTGTTAGATTATAGAAGTGATTGCTAGATACAGTAATAATTAATCAAACCGCAGACTGTGCCATCTGCCGTCTGCGGTAATGCACCATGCCAATAGTTCATATATCATCTATGTCGGTATATTATATGACAAAAATAGTTTCACGAACACACGCATGAAGCTATTTATACTCGTATCTATAGAAATATAAAAAATAAAAAGTAAGACATACGAGTATATTCATATCTATTCCCACGTATACCGTTAAAGCTAATTAATTGAATGCAGCTTTAAAGTTATAGAATGCTAACTAGTTAATCGAATAATCAACTAGCTTTAAAGTTATAGCAAAAATTTTATCCAGGGTTTACACAAACAAAGGAACTTTACTATTGTTTACTTTTGCTGTCATTCACCATCCAACCACATTCTAGCTTTTTTTTGGTGACAGGGTTGAAAACATTTCGGATCTCCTAGGGGACGCAGGAGCCAAGAGTCTGTGATGTTTTCACTAAAAACTACACCGATGGCTGGCCTCAGGCGCACTACTCTGGGGAGGAACATGCGCTTTTAAGTCCGCCCCTCATTGACGCCATACCTAACTAGGCCTTATCATCCACTCACTAGCTTGGACAGTTATGAACACATAAACCTCTTATCATATGGATAACATTAACAAAATGGACTTAACCTTCTCCGACCTAAAAACGTGCATGGTCGATAAAAAAAATTAGTACTACATCGGTTATAATTACACCACCAGATTTTTATGAACATTTTCTAATGGTTGCGTCATAGTTTTCCTTAGAACTACAGGTTAATATCATAAAGTTTCATATCCCTTTCGTTCTCGTATCATAAAACTGTACGTCTGTAGTTTATTAACTCTGCCTGTTTTCAATATAATCTGACACTGCATTTGTGAATTTAAATCCGTGTAAACCTTTCAATTCGATTTAGTTGTTAATCTGTATATCTTATCGTTACGTATCTAATAATATTGAAAAGCCAAATTTTTCGACGACTACGACCTTAAAATCTTTCATTTAGTTCCTTTTTTACAATTTATACTACTCTTAGTCGTTTCTCTCTTTTCAACCCAAAATCATTACAGAAAGAATTATTTAATGTATGAACACACAGAATAATTAAAAAAAGGAAAATATAAGAAACTTGTTTTTAATTAAAACATAAAGTATATAAAATAGATCAAATAAAGCTAGCTAATAAGGTATATTTCTTTATAACTTTAGTATACATCTTCCATAGATAATTCGATGTTCTCTGGCATTTCTGATGGATCAATATGTCGTTTTCTATAAGACGGTGAACTAAAGTAAGCCTGCGGTGTTGTGCTTAATGTGGTTGATTTTTCTTTTTCCTTCTTGTTTTTCTTATTTACTTTCCTCTTTGAAGCTAAAAATGATTCACTTTCAGGTGTATCGCAATCGTAAGATTTCTTTACACTGTATATACGACACATTGACGATTCATTATCACTTTGGTCTACAGTGTGAGCTTTGGTCTCTTTTACTTTTAAACCATATACTTCACCGTCAATGTTATATTTTGTTACGGTAACGGATTTGGTAGACTTCTTTTTTGATTTGGTCTTTTTTGGTAAGGCTGAAGTAATCGTCGTCGTTATATCATCTTCTCTTTTTATACGATTCTTAAATTCAAATTTGTTTGATAACAATTCTTCTCTTAATTCAGTATTCACTGTTTTCTTTTTCAGTTCTGCATGTGCTTTATATTTATGTACAGCGCGTCCCATACAATCGATGCATTTCTTACATCGGGGGTCCATAAAAAGCGATTGAAGTTCAGATGATGCGTTGATTGCAGGTGAATCATGAAGGTTATGGTGTAACTTTTTGTTTTGTAGACGTTGGTGAGATACTTTTGTATCGTTTAGCTTGAGTTTTGCTCCTGAATCTGGCAAACTATCTCCTGTTTTTGTAACAAAATAAAAATAATTAGAAGTAAAATCTGGCATTCAATTTAGTACACATACTCGTATATGAATAATTTTAGTATTTTAAATTTATTGTCCTTAGAATAGCCATAATTCGACTCAAATGGGTCCGATCGACAGAGTGATAACTTCACAGAAAACTGGTGTTAAGCAATTCTTACGTTGGTTTTCACTGACTGACTGAGGTTAGGTTAAGGCTTAACCCCCTCCCCCTCCCTTGATTCCGGAAGGTGACTTAAAGGATCACAAATTTGTTACTTGTAGTTACTCCACGGGCGGCGTTAGTCACCATGCTCCGTCTGCTCGTTTGCCTCCATTTAGAATCGTAAAATATGAAATGTATACAAATGTACAATGGCTACCTATAATTAGTCAATATCAATAGTGTAAGTTTGTGTACATGTGTGTCCTACACGTGTACCCACTCAAACTTACACTACACATAATATTTAAAAAAATTGAAAGTTGCAGAATTGCTGCAATATATTTGCTATTTATGTAGTATCTTGTCAATTGCATATTTCAAGTTTTTGCTTTACCAGTAAATTTGTATCTATTTTAGATCAAATTTTGCACATTGAACCAAATATTAGATAAAAACATTTTCCACACACGGTTACTATTCTGCATATTGGAATACAAGACAACCACTGATTCCAACTAAACCGCGTACAAGGCTTACACAAATAAACACATGCAAATAGATGCAGCTATCCGTATATGTTACTAAGGATGATCCCGAAGGTGGCAATGAAACATTTTCGAGATTGAACGTAAACTCACCCAATGCTTGTGGAAAGTACACTACAAGAGCGAACAACAACAGGGAACTCATTAGTTCCATTTGCGCTGCCCTCGTTCGAGGTGTCTTCACTGTAGCAGACAATCTTCTTACTCAAGTACGCTAACAAGCTTCGTTAAGGTGTGGAGTTTTACAAAACGCGCAATGTTGCTCACTGTCGACGACTCGCCTCGCCGCCCTGTCTCCTGTTGAAATGTTTTCAAGTGTTTCTAGTACGTCATAACTAAAAATTATCTACTTAAATAATAAAATATAACATTTCTATGTCCAATTGTTAAACTCTACCGAAAAAAAGTTTAGAGGCTATGTTTTAGGCCGAATTACATAAAGTATACATTTTAATGCCTTATTTGCCTAAATATATCTTCTGCCCAATAAGTTGAAATACTGACAACATACTCTAAATTATTTTATATTGAACTTTTTTATTGAGAATATTGCTAAACCGTCCGAGACACTGTTTAAATACGAGTATACTATCCTGAATAATAAAATACGCATACTAGACAATAGTTTACATACTTATAAAAATATGTGAACTGTCTAAATGAACAAAATTTGCATGTTATTGATTTTCAGTAAAACCCATAGTTTTTGTGTTTAATTGTCATTATCAAATATAGCTAATAAGTAATTTCGGGTTATATTTTAATCTTGCCAAAGATTAATGGGAGTGTCCTAATAAATAAAGCTTCATAAATTTCCCCATGAACTCATCGAGCTAAATCACATAATAGTCGTGCTTATTATTACTTTTTCGTGTAGAATATACTTTTAATTAGGTTTCATTCCAATCAAATTTATTATTACATTTTGAATTCACACATCGGGACGTAATTAAATTGTATTGTTAGCATTTGTGTTTTTTTTTGCAATAAAAAATCCCTAAACAGATTAATATTATTTCACTTCACCTTCAATTTATCAGTAGAGTTTAACACAGAACAAATTCTCACTGCCTTACACTAAAACAAACTGTCATAACGTATAATAAATATACACTGATTACTTTGAAGAACACCTCACGTCTTGGATTGCCGGATAATGGAGAAATAATGATGGTACTGAAGTGAAAAATCTTACTTATATTGTCTGTCTGATGACATAGTATGTCTTTAAGTGCATCGTAGCTATTGTTTATAGCCTCTCCATTTGTTTACAATCCACGGAACAGCCAGCTTGGGACAATCGAATGTTTGGTAACTAATACTTTACTTCTAAGCTATTGTTTCTGCTGTAATGTGTTTACGTTACACATATCACCGGATAACGGCATCCGGGGTACTGATTACGCATAGTGTAACATTTCTCTCTGTATACAGCCAGTGTTGTCATTGCAAACACAAATAGTCTGTTCGTAGTACTTGAAGTTCCGTGCTTCAAAATGATTTTCTCTTTAATAAAGCTCGTCTTGAAGCCTTTGGAGAAGCATAACATAGTGTATTAAAGAAATAATCTAAGTGTTTTACAACTGTTTGCAATATCTCCTAAAAGTATTTGTAGTACAAAAATGCACCTTAAGATAGTCCTCTAACTTTAATTCCAGAAGATTTTGGATAAAGAATATATTATGATGCAAAGGTATTCCATCATCAACAGCCTTTAATAGTCCACTGCTGGACATAAGCCTCTCCTTAGAAAGGAGGTTTTGGCCTACTATACCACGCTGGCCAGACGGGTTGGTATAGGGTTTGTGTCAAGTTTTCCTTCTCTCTGCAGTGCTGTTGTCCTGCGTAATTTTGTCCCTTAGTCGGCTCTTACGACGCCCACGTAAGGGGTGTCGTAAGAGCCGCATAAATTATATGTAATGTATTACTATGTAATTTAGTAATAAATTACATATAATTTATTACTAAACATTTCATGATAGTTTATAGCCAATGCGATATTGTAGAGAAAAATAAGCCTCTAAATAAACACCTCGAAATAAAGTACTTGAGTAATAATAGATGAACTTGCTTTGGACTAGTGTATGTTAAAAAAGTTTAAGGTGTTTAACTCTTTCATGTTTCAAATATATTTTATATAAATTATTATTTAATTATATTCGGTGAACAAAACGGCATCTGAAACAGATATAAGACGATACTAAATATAACGTGGAGTATCATATCAACAAAAAATCCTAACACGTGATAACTATCGCATATTGTGTTACTAGTAACTAAAATAAAGTGATGTTTTAATTACACCTTTTCAGTAAAATAAAGTGACAGATACTTCAAATTTACTATTTAAATCGACAGACCCTTTGAAAAGAAATAATTATTATTCCATAAGAAATCTAGTAATTTAATAATACGGTTTCTTCTTCTCCCTTTCTACAGTTACATGTCAATGTATTCACTATGTAATATATTGTTCGTTTTTCGTGGGTACATATTATGTACTGACAAACAACAAACTTTACGACTGCACTGACCCTGTGGTCAGTAAATCCCAGTCATAAAGAATAATATTCACTCTGCCAATGCATACGACGAGACCGTGAGGTTAGACCAAGGATTATAAATAGGGATGTCAGTGCGACTCAATTTCAGTAGATATCTAACAAACATGTGACACAAGTGCAAAATATAGTGTTAGGGAAATTAAAGAGTCAAGTAAATTATGACCTTATAATAAGAATAAACTCCATAACAGTGAATGTTTATTAAAGAAATACGGTTTTACTGGAGTCTGTATTTCGGGGATGCCCGACCAATTTTGAACCCAAAGCCCCAGTTGTCACACTTTTTTTTACAAATTTAATTTTAACGAATGATTCATGAAGTATGCAGTATTTAATTTTATGTGAGATTTTATATTTTACTTTATTTTAAATGAGAAGGCGAGTACTTTGGTGAGTAATGATAAAATGACAAGTTGTTAAACTTAGTCACACACAGTTACAAATTAGTTTTATTTTATGTATTATTGTATATATTGCAAGGTAAAACAGCTAATTTTCCATAGATAAGTATGTAAAAATATTATAGCTAGAAACCCTATGTTATTTGTTTTCTTTTTGAAAATATGATTAAATAATATTTGTATTTTTTTTTATATACAGCAAAATTGACAAACAAATACACGCAACTCCTGACGTAACCCGATGGCATCGCTTGTAAATTTATAAATATCATCAAGAACAATAGCGGTACTTGCTTATTACAAAGCCTATGCCTCCTCTACTTATATGCCTGGGGACAAGTGCAAGAGGCCTTCCACTTTCACTGTTATACTACTCTGAAGGCTCAACAACCAACCAAAAAGTCCGCTAGTTTTAACCCACTTAAACACTCCTAGGTCGGTTCGTAATACCACGACACAAATGAGGCTCTGGAAAGAACATTTTTATGTGTATATTAATACGTGAGGAGAATTCTTTGTACGCATTTTTAGACAAGCGCACATGAACAGGAATTTAAAATTCGAAATACAAGTTTATACGTTGGAGGAGCGCAGGAAGCTAAAATATTTCAAAACTTAAGTTAGTTATGTAAAAAATCTATACGGTATGATATACTATATATTTTACCTGTTGTTTTCAAAGGCCGTGTGGTGATGGATAGGGAATACAGGATGTCACCACCCCTGTTCATCCCGTGGGTATCGTAAGAGAACAACAGTACTGCAGAGAGAAGGAAAACTCTATACCAACCCGTCTGGCCAACGTGGTATAATAGGCCAAAACCTTCTTTCTAAGGAGAGGCCTATGTCCAGCAGTAGACTATTAAAGGCTGTTGATGTGATGTAAACTATTGTCTGGACAGTATATTTAAACAGCGTCTCAGACGGTTTAGCAATATTCTCAATAAAAAAGCTCAATATAAGATAACTTAGAGTATGTTGTCAATATTTCAACTTATAAAAATACGTTTTAATAAAATTGTGTAATGTGTAGAGTTAGTATACCTCAAATAGTATTCATATCGGTAAATGACGTATACGAGTAGCTTGTTGTTACTTCTCAGCTATATTTAATGTCTGTAATACGTCATGTAAACAGAGTTTGCTTTGAAACTCTTGTAAACAGTGATTAGTTCTACAAGACTTGAAGACGTCGTGACATGTTGGGATCGATATTTAAGCATAAATATCATGTGTCTAGCAAGGAGTAAACGTGATTTTCATTTTGAAAATTATCTATTAAACTAGAAAGAAATCTACAACTTAAATTAGAACTAAAATTATGTAAAAAAAATGATAAATTGTAAGAAAACTCAGGAATCGTATTATATTTTATCAACAACCTTGGTAACCTTTTTTTATATTTACTAACTGACTTTCCATATCGTGTTTCATTAATTTAGCTACTTCTATCTTTAAACGTTACAATTAATCGTACAAGAAATCACTGAAATTAGCACTAACGATACATTAATCAGATCTGCGTTAGTTATATTTTGAATAATAAGAATTCGATAGGTTTTTATTAATGTCACATTATACAATCTGCAAAGAAAGATCTTTTAATGTAAGATGACAGTACAAGCCTAAACCAGAGCGTGAGCTTTAGCTTCAGCCTGTTCATTACAAAGTCTATCCCTTACTTCCACTTCCATTTCGTCACGTACGTTTTAGTCGCGCATAATGATAATGCATTGCCTAACGTACTTTTAAGCATCTCTATCATGTAAAGATCTCATCTCATACTAAATTTTTACCCAAATTGTAACTACTTATAAATACATACATACCTACTTACCTAATTTATTTTACCTAGGTCTTCTATCCCCGAAGGGACCAACTGAGGCATTTTAAAACGCCTACTTTTTATTAACGAGATAATTGGTGAAAACTATTACTGTTGTTTCGCATTTCGAATTTTACTACTAACGAATTTAGCTGAAATTTCACTCACCAACAGATTCTGGATTAATACGTAGACCTCTGGAATAACAAGTACTCTAAATAGTTCTTATAGATATAGACCTATAAGAACTAGGCATGGGACAAAATCACAGTGAACTGTGAAAGACCGATGATTTATCATTCGATTTTTAGGATGTTAGGATTACTACTTACTCACGCGTTGTTGCCAATAAGCTCTTTTCAGA